TAACGTAATCGGTAACGCCACTCTTTTTTTTGTTTCTTGATTTATTTTAAAATTTTTTTCTCTTTCAAAGTTGAATTTTTACAGTTGAGAGAATGATTTCCTTGAATTTATTCAAAAAAAATTTTTTTATTCTTCTTTTTTTTTTTAAAAAAAAAAGTTACTCTACTTAGTTACATGCCTTTAAACGTGTAATTTTATAAAGGAAAAACTTCATTTTTTTAAATCTGTTCCGTTTTTTTTTCTTCTTTTTATGAAGAACTTTTTAGTTTATCCCAGTTTTTTTTCATTTTTTTTCCTCTTTAGTTTTTTGGTTACTTTTACCTGAATTTTTTTTCTCTTCTTTAATTTTTTTTTATATTTATTTCTCAAGCACCAAAAAAAAAATGTATTAAATATTTTAAAAAAAAGGAAACTCCTGAAAAAAAAAAATAATAAAACAAAAGCAGTAAAGAGGGCAAAAAATAGTTGAACCCCAATTTAATTTAGCACCTGTATTTATACATGATTCAGTTTTAATATTACTTTTTACATATTGCATTACATGTAAGTAAGAATACACGTAAATGTTTCCTGTGACTATATTAATAATCATTCCCCAGCAGGAAAATAAACCTGTAGAACTTTTTCTTTTTTTTATAATTTTTAAACATGAAAAATACAGTGTTCTTCGCATTATAAACATACATAAGTGATTTTAATAATAATTTTTGTGGTCTTTCTTAATATTAAATAAGCGATTTAAGCCTTACAAATCATAGCTTGTAAATGGCACTTTTTAAAACGTTGGCAATTATAAGGCTATAGGTAGTAAAATGGAGGTATGTTATCAGTTGAGAATTATTATTTTTTAACTGAATAAACTTTTGATTTTAAAGTGTTTTACATACTCAAGTCAAAATATTAAAAGTTCCGATCATTATGGTATAACCAGAAATCACAACCGTGTCTGAAACTCATAAGTTTTGTTTTACTTGTAATCGTAAATGCAGGGGCAAAATTTATAAAGTAAAACACGTTAACTGATATTATAAATGTAAAAACTGTTTAAGAAACCTTAAAATTTACTATATACGTTTATGTTTAAGTTTTTAGGTTGTCTCTACGTTAACCGTTTAAGGAAAAAGTTTTCATTGCATGTTCATATTTAAATAAATATCAAAGATTTCGGAAATGAAATTGTTTATTTTTCTTTTTCTTTATTCCCGTGCAGTTTTTATTTACATTTTTTATATAATTTTTATGCTAATTTTGACAGATATTCAACCATAATAGTTATAAGTTGAAAAGTATAAAATAAAATGACTGACACGTAATATAATGAATGCGGTTACTGAATATTTTCTTAAGTATTTCATGTTCTGTGTTCCATGTCAGTATTATTAAAAATGCTACGTATAAAATTCAATATTTTTATTATATATGTATGTTTATAATAATAATGTTATTATTGTTGATTTGCAAATATGTAAAGGTTTTATTTTTATTTTATTGCTCAAGTTCCTGTCGAAAGCTCAAAGTTTGATTTGAAATTCACTTATCGAGTACATCTACTCGTTCATATAAGTATATTTATTCCAGTTCAAGGCTCCCGCTCTGAATTTGACTACGACCCCAATTTCGATTTCGAACGTGACTGCCATTCCGACTCTAGCTGTGAACTCTGGCTATTTTTCGTATTACTTCCAATAAAATTTTTATAAAATAAATTTTTTAAATTTTCCACCCTGTTACTTTTGACTTGAAATATTTAAAAATCGTTACATTTTAACACGAATTTCCCGACACCAATTCCGGTTCTATGATCGTGATCATAAACGAATACATAACGTGTCAATGATTGGTAATGTCTTGGTTCAGATAATTAAATTAAAGTACTTGTTCAATTCTTTATTTTGTTTTATTCTCCATGTTAATAAGATTACACTTTATTAAATACATATACAACAAAAACATTCTTCATGCATGCCTACGTACATATGTACATACATATACAAAAAGTATGAATTTGACAATATTTATTTTGTTTTCTATTCTAAATTCAAGAGTCCCTTACATTTTACGCACACAATACTAAAATCTTCCATATTTTTTAACTTAATTCTTGTCTATTAGTCATGAAGTTCCAATAATGAACCTATTCAGTTTTATTACAATATTTTAGTCAATAAAGTGTTGAATGTTGTAGCTTGAATTTTAGTTAATATTTAATACATTGTTAAACATTATGATTACAAAAATAAAAGTTAGTAATTATTAAAATAATTTAAATGCGTTGCGATGATTAATTTATGAAAAAAAGTCATTCACATTTTGTGTATCTTCTTTTAAAAAAGAAGATAAAATAAAATATTTTGATTTCAATGGCTAAACGTTGGTTAATAACCTCATTACATTTTTCTTTTAATTTCCAGATTAATATCGGGTTGTTTTGCTCTTCGTATACTGAAATATAATTAATAAATTTTTTGAAATTATTATTCACCATAATTATTAATAATTTTATTCTTATCTTAACTTGGTAAATTGGTTTATTTATAACAGTGTGTATATATAATAATATTTACATACAAACGTACGTGTTCGCATATTTTAATTTTATTTAAATTGTTTATCGCTCGTACTAATTTGTCTAGTTTATTTTTTTCTTTTGTTTTTTTTATTATTATTCTTTAAATATTTTGTGATTAATTTTTTTTTTTAATTTTTAATAAGTAATATAAACGCGGCACTGAACTCAAATTAAAATTTTTATAAGTATCGAGAAATGTAGGTATTTTTTTTTTTGAATGGTATTCATAGAAGTGCTAAAACGTTTGTAACAGATTTAACCAAATTATAAGTGGACAAGAATTAGATATAATTATATTTAATATTAAGAATAACATTAGCTTAAATTTTGAAATAAATATTTTAGAGTTTATAGATTTATTTAAGTTCAAATTTCTATTTCATAAAGATTTATTGTAGCATCCCATCATTTATAAATTAGGACACATTCTTTGAAGAAAAACTTTTAAAATCTATTATTACTTGTTAAATCGGAGCACAATAGACGTTCTTATTGTAATTTCTAATCTCTACCATGTCATCTTTTATAATATTCATTATTAAATCCTATATTTTTTTAGAATTTGAATTATTTTAAAAGTTTTTGGACCTATTATAGCCTATGACATGCTTCTTAACGATTTTTTCTTTTTGTTTTACTTAAACAACAAATTATAAGTCATTCCAAAAATGTGAACATAATTCTGGATCATTAAAATTCTGGGTAATAATTTAATTAAATTGTGATAAAAAAAAAAAAATACAATAAAAAATTATTTGAAGCAAAAATGTGAGTTCTTTGCTTTTTTATTTGCAAAAATTTTATTGTTATTTTTTAATTTTTTTTTTTGTTTGTTATCAGAATAAAAAACCGAAACATTTATCAAAAAATTAATAAAAAAAAGTGTATTGCTTTATTTTTGGAGCACATTATTCTTATGTGTGTCTGTTCTAGACTTTTATGTTTTTTTTTTTGCTCTTAAGCAAGTACAATATGAAAAAATCGCCATTTTTTTTTAATTCGGTTTTTAACTAAATTTGAAATTAGTTCATAGAGGTGTGGTAGCTGCTATTTTATTATTATTATTTTTTTGTGTGTTTACTTAATTCCTTTTAATAAAGTTCATTAATCAAAGAATATTTTGATTTATGATTCGAACCATATCAATTTAAATAATCTGAAGTTTATATTGTTTTCAATATGGCAACAGGTTTTGAAAATTGTCAAATTTTGACATATTTTTGTTATTTATAAATTATTTGACAATAAGCTATTGAAAATATTATAAAATTATATATTGTATATACTTTGTTTGGAATTTAATAATAAAATATTTACAATTAAAATGATCATTTATTTTCAATTAGAGCTTCAAATAGAGAATTCAAAATAGATTCTAAAAATCTCATGAGAGATTCAATTTTACAGACTTTTGTTCGATGGAAATATAAGTAAGAGATTTTCCTGAAAGTAGAAAAACAAAACAATAACGTGAAACATGTGCAATCTATATTTTGACTATTAAGTATACTAAAATAAACTGTGATTTAATTGCGCTACTCAAAACAAGTTTACCGGTTGATAAGTTTTGAAATTGAACGACACAGATTCGCAACTTTTGTTTGTGAACATGAAAACTCGGAGCACAGTGCTTATGAAAACCACTATAAGTACCTACTTGAGCGCTACATAATGCAGTAATACGCTCTTCAAATCCAATGCAAAAGTATTGGTTTAAATTGAATTCAGGAACTCATTTATAGCTTGAAGTGAATTTAATAACCATATTATATTCTAGTATGACTAACTTACAGATATACCTATCAAATTTAATAAAATATAAGTTTAAGTTCTGAAACAAAAAATTCCAGAGAAAGTTTTTATATTCTTAAATAATACGTAAACCATAACATTGGTAAAAATAATCACCTGCTAAATGTGCTAACTAATACAAAATAATTTCTTAAAAAAAAAAATAAAAAATAATCTCAAAAGAATCTTTCAGAACAATAAAAGACAACAAAAAAAAATTGCTTTTATTATACTCCATAAAGAAAAAGGAAAGAAGATTAAACATTTAAGGTCAATTTTTATGTATATTTTATTTTTTAAGTGTGGACTGTTGTGATCCCATTAAAAAAGAAAATTAATTATCTTACACAAACTTGTCTCTCTTTTATGTACATATACACCAAACTACATTTGAACGAGTCGATGAAACATGCACACACCAACAATTTTATAATTAAACATACACATTTCTTTTTTTTGATTTTCCTTTCGTTTTTGTTTTTTTTTTTGTTATTTTCATTCATTATAAACTATAATGCATTTTTATTATTCTTCTTTTTTTAATAATAAATGAGAAGAAGAGAAAAATTTTTTATATTTTTTTATTTTTTTTTTTTGTATAAATTTTCTCTAATAATTTTTTGTTTGTTCTCCTTTTCAGATTGCCGGTAGTTAACGAATGTCCGGCAGGTCAAACTGCTAGAGTTACATCCAACCTGCATTCATCAACAAGTACAATGGCGGTTAGCCGTGTACCATCACCGCCATTAACAGAAGTCAATACACCAGTTGCAGAGAATTGGTGTTATACACAGGTGAGCTTTAAATAATAATAACAAAAAAAAAAAGAAATATAAAAGTTATTTTAGATTTTTTTTTGTTTCTCATTTTATTTTTATTTTGTAACATAGTTTACAGTTTTATTGTTAATTTTCGTATATAAATTTTATATATATTTATTAATATTATACATACTTAATTATGTATGTTTGTGTACTTCGCTTTTATAAAATAAAAAATACAAAATAACAAAAAAACTAAGAATAATGAAAATGAGGTTTTTATTCTCAATTACTTTGACCTTATTATGTCAATTTCGTTAAAAAAAATTGAATTTAAATACAAGAAGACAAAAAAAATATAAAATATTTTGTATAATAAAATAAACATATTATTAATGTTTATTAAGGGGATTTTATTAATTTAACAAATTTGTAAGAATAAAAAAAAAAAATTTTAAAATAAAAATAAAGTTATTTTTAAGAAAAGACGAACGAAAAATAGAGAAAATTGTAAAAAGAAAGAGAGAAAAAGAATTGTATTTTAGGGTTATAAATAAAAAATTCTAAAAAAAAAAACTTTTCTTTCAAATTTAGGACATAAAATGAAATTTTTTGAAATTATATTTGAAAGTAATACAAATTGTGTTCAAAATAAAAAAGGTAAAAAAATATGAGAAGACCGACCCAATGTTCTATTTTTTCCTTAATCTGTCGTCAAATTATTTTTTTTTATTTTGATTTCACATTTTTTAAATTTTTGATTTTTTTCGTTCATAATAATTTTCACAATTATTTTTGAGGAGCTAGTCTAAGTCAACTGATGACAAACCTTAAAGCTAATTAAGTTTAAATTTTCTAATTCGAAGTACTTTGTTGTATAAACACCATCTATTTCACACAACATTAAGGAAAAATTTAAGATATGTTAAGTCATTTCCTTCGGACTTTCGGACAGTGAGAGTAACGCACCTTTACTTGGCGTTTCGAAAACTCTTTTTTATAAAATTCTTAAACTTTTTGGAAAACTCTTTAACTCGGAACGCATTAATATTGTAAAATTTGTTTATATGGAAAGTGATCGATCCATCATTAAAGTTTACGTTTTTTTTTACAATACACTGCTTAATTAACACATTCCGATGACAATGCAGCTTACAAAGGTGAAAAATTTCGGGCAAACAATGTGTTAAAATGTTATGAGGATTATTTGTTTTACTTAGTTCTGATCTAAATTTGGAATTTGATGCAAAATAAACTGAAGAGGGTATGAGATCTAAATTTATTAATAAATATTTTATTAATAAATTTATGTTTAAATTTTAATCTTTTTTTGTGTGTTTATTTTATTAATAAACACACAAAAAAAGATTAAAATTTATTGAATTAAAAAGAATAAAACCAAAACTGATATGAATTAAATTTTTCTGAAAAAAAAACCCCATGCATTATAACACTTCTTTTGATTTTGTATTTAATTTTTTTTTTTCTTATATTTCTTCAGAAATCAATTATCAAAATTATATCAAAAGAAAATATGTAAAAAATCCTTAACAAACATCCATAAATCTTGACATTTCTCATCACAAATTATCCTTCACCATTCTAAATAAAATGTGTGTGTGTGTACCTTGTATACCGCTTTAAAATTTATTACCTTAACTGATTTATTCTGATAAAATTTCAGCATATAAGGAGCCCATAAAGACTTTTTTCAACTTAAATTCTGTTTAGACTTAACAATGGTTTTAGTTTTTTGTTTTTCGTCAAAAACATCAAATTTTGAATTTCATTTAAAATAACAATTTGATTTATTAGACTGAGTCATCAAAGTATAAAATGCATATAACTATGTACTTATGTACATGTGTACATACTAAGAAAAAGAAATCGTAAAATTCCATTCAATTTTCAAAAATTTTAAATGGTTTGTTCATTTTGAAACCTTGAAATTTGAGATTTTTATTGTATTTAATTTATTGATAAATGCGTTTACCAGATTATTTCTTAATGATATTTTATATTTTTAAATTCTTTTAGATATACATTTTCAATTTGATTTAATTTGATTTTATAAATTATTGGGTATCTTTTCCAAAGTATTATCTTATTTCAAAATCAAAAGGAAAAAATTAAAAAATTCATTTAAATTATTAATCTTATAAATTAAAAATCATGACATTTATTTCAACGCTTTCTACAAACACAAAACGAAAAAAAAAATCATTCAGATCAATTTATTTAAAGTGAATAAAACAGTTCTTTACAAATCAGTGTCCCGTCACTTTGTTTTTTGTTAACTAGAATTTGATGCATTAAATCTTGAATAACGATAAGAGACACGATTGAACATTTTGAATCAGTATAGAAAATTATTAAGTTAAATATTTTTAAGCAGATCTCTGTGATAAATACCTATATAGATAAAAAATACATATATTGTCTACTAAATATTGATGAATTCTTTATTTTAGGTATTTAAACATTCAATTTCTTTGTTCTTCCACTTACGCACTAATCGATGCAACGCCATATTTTTTTACACATTTTATGCAGTATTTATTTAAAACTAAACATTTTACAAAGTCTAAGTCCAAAAATAATTTTGCTTTACTTTGCGGTTATGCACTGACATTTACTCGTTAATCGTATGTGCTACTGTTTGATCTCCATTTCAGAACTTCTATTTTATATTATTACGGAAATTTTAAATTTTATTCACAAATAAATTTTAGTAAAAATTTTTTGAACCAAATTTGTACTTGCTTTTCAGAATTTTTAAAATGCAAAATTTTTACTGTTGAATATACTAAAATTGTTACTATTAAAAATGTGTCCGCTCGAAAAGGAAAAAACACCTTTCTTATTCTACTGCCGAATAGCACAAAAACATGTCAATATCATCATTAAAATAGTTTTCTCAAATTATTGATACCATTTACTATACAGGCTACTTGCTCTCTTGGAATCGAAAAAAGCAACAGTTTTTTAAAATGTCATCAATTTTTAGACATGTACAACTAGTTTTCCTAAAAAAAATCTATTTTCTCAACCAAAAAAACCTTTAAGTTTCGTCAAACAAGAATCCCTTTTCCGTCTCCTAGAAATATGCAATAAAAAACACTTTTTTAACAATATAATTAAGAGAAATGTTATAATTTATAAAAGCCATTGATTTTACTTATGCCTCGAACATTATTTTTAATAAAAAAATTCAATAACATTTACGGCAATTGATTAAAATTTGATGAATTGGGCATTAATATCAATAATTTAATTTGGAGACAAACAAAAAAAAAGAGATCACAATTCGAATTCAATGAGTTCTTTGCCATTTATCAGAAAATCATAAATATTAAATTAGCTACATAATTTGTCAAATCGCATTAATATTTTTTTTTATCAAAAAAAAAAATAAAATTGCAAAAAAAAGCCAATATTTTTTAATAACGTGTGTGAAATTTTCAAATAAATATTTTTGTGTATAGTCATTTGCATATATACGTAGGAACAAATTAAGTAAAAAAAAATTTCCTCCCCCGTTTACACAAAAAAAAAACAATAAATATAGAGAAAAAGACTGTAAAAGATCGCGATTTATTGAAAATGAAAAAAAAAGAAGCGAAAAAATCGATTTTTGTCATCGCCATTGTTGTATGTATTTTAAACTTGACTTTTAACGTCAAAATATTTCAAGGTCTTCTTCGCGTTTTTTATATAGTCACTCTGTTAAATATTTGCTATTGTTTAATAATCTCTTTGTGTTCTGGTCGGGAGAGGAAGAAGAATTAAAAAAGAAAAACAAAAACAGAATCAAGCGAAAAAAAAATTTCTTGTTTCTTTTTTTTTTCGTTTTTGTATTTATTCTTTCTTGTCGTCAATCAATGCGATGCTAAAATAAAAGAAAAAAAAACTGTCCCGAAAACAATGGTGTCTCTTTATCTAATAATAATCGCGCTTTGTTTCCCTACACACAAACATATTCTATTTACATATAAAAAAAAATGACTAAAATACATTCGCAATTAAAAATAATTTGACAGTAATTTAAAGTTAATTAAAACCGATATAAAATTTATAATTTTTCTTTTTTGACAAAAAAATCAAAATCAGAAGAAAAAAAAGTACAAGAAACAAGAAGAAAAAATTAATGATTTTCCGAAGGACATAAAAAAATTTGAAGGCCAACGAATTAAAATTGTGACGCCAATTTCCATTTAATTGTCATTATAATTTAATTAGGTATTTATACAACCGCATAAATATATAGATACATAAATGTAAACTTAAATTATCATTAGATCATTAATAGATAAAATAATTATTTTCTTTTATTTAATATTAATGTATAAATAGTAGCACACTGTTAGGCGCGCGCACACACACACACGTAAGGTAAATAAAGTTAGATTTTACGAACAAATTAATTAAAATTGTTGATAAGTTTCTCAATAAAAAATTGTTTCAAATTTTATTGATTTTCAATATCAATAAATTATGTAATTCTTATTAATATGTCTAGTCAGGTATGCACGTACACTAAAGATTCAGTTTGTGTACAACCTAAAAATTTTTATGAAATTTGTGTAAATTTATAAAATTTTATTTTATTGCTTAAATATTATTTTAGAATTTTTAATATTAATTGGATAAAATAACAGTTTTTGTTAAACCAAAGAAAAAACATACGAAATTGAGATTCGTATGGCAAGATTTGTTAACAGAGAGAGTAAAATTTAAAAACTTTTCATTTAATAGTATTTAGAAGCTCTTCTTATTTTACAGATTCACACGAAAACAAACGGAAACTTCTAATTTTACTAGTCAAATGATAATTCACATCTTGAATCGTATATTAGGAATTGAATTCTTAATGAGAATTGTTAAAAATTTTGGACTTCTTCATGATATTCAACTGCATTTTAGCAATGTTTGTTGTATTTTAATCGATGTTATGTTTATTGGGTTAAATGCCTCTTTCATTCCATATTTAAACTAGATTCCTTTTAGATTTGCATTAAATTCTAAATCGTGTT